CTTTCCCTTTCCTCCAAGCAGGCTTTCCAGGAAACTCCCAAAAAAAGAGAGGAAGAGGTGCATGTACAAGCCAGATTGGCACAGTTTTAGTTAACAAAGCTTGTAGGGAAGGAGGAGGGGGAGGAGGAGAGAGCTCCCTCCTTGAACTGCCAGGAGTAAACCTCATACTTTGTAGGAAATGTATCAAAAGTGGGTATTTTGGATTCTTTGTATCAAAAGTGGATCTTCCCACTGCCTCCTCACTTTCTCCCTACGTCTTGGGGTGCTTCTGGAACCACAAGCTTCTCTAAAGACCCCTCCATTACCCCCAGAAGCATTTGTTCTTCATTTGAAGGGTACAAGCCCTGCAACAATGGAGCCTGAGGATAAGACAGCCTAGCAGAGCCTTCAAGGGCTTGCTGAAGGTCACAGGAGGCCAGGGACAAAGCCAGAGGTACTGACTGGAGCTGACTGGTACATCACGTGCAACTGCAGCCAGATGAACACAGCCCACATGTCCAAACTTCCAACCCACCCTTCTCTGGCCACCCAACGAGTCTCTTCTTCACTGCTCTGAGCTGGAAATGCTCCAAAGAGAAAAAGTGAGGAAGGAAAAGCCTTACCAAGGACACGTCATCCAGAATGAGCCCGAACGTTGCTGCTCTCTCTGTGAGATCTTCACTAACTTGCCTTGAGACCAGCTCTCTCTGAGTGATCAGTTCTCCAGCATCAAAACGAGCCTGGAATCAGGGTGGGCAGCAGTGAGAAGAAAGCTCCAAGAAGGGATAGATTCTCCATGTGTCTCTGCACCCATGAGCCTCAGAGTTAATCCAGTTATCTTTCCAAAGTCAGTGAAGACTGAGCTGCCCAGGCATTTAAGAGAAGGACTGAATGACTGGGAGTGTCAGTGTGGGCTGGAGAGGAGGTTGTCTTGTCCAGTTGAGCATTTAACATAAAAACACACAACTGGGCTACATGGTTAGTGATTCTTTGGCAGTGCCCCAGGGGATGCTTCCAAAAGTGCTGAAAAGCTGAAATCTAAGATTAATAGAAGTGAAACTCCCAGTGCCTTGACTGCAACTCCCAGCCTGAAGAGCAGAGCCAACAGCTGAGAGCAGGTAACAAAGAAATCTCTTTCCACCCAGAGATCATCCAAGGTGAATCAAGTCAGAATGACCAAGAAACAATTAGTGAAGCTCCAATTAACTTTACCAGATGGCCCATGAGAGTAGAAAGAAAAGCCTGAAGCTGAGGCATAACATTTTTCCCAGTCCAATGGGTCCCTCACTGATGAAAAGAGGAAAGATGGATGCCTGGCAGATCCCAGCAGTTCTCAGGCTGCTCTTACCACAACAGACTTGAGGATTTCAGTTGTGATTGAGGGCAGGACACGCTCATCATAGTCCTCTCCAATACTGGTGAAAATCCGCGGTAACTGGGCGGTCACTGGTCTGAACAGGATCCTCAATGTGATGTTCACGTTCTGCAGATCTGAAGAAGAGTCACATGTTAGTGGCACGGGGGCAGGAGAGACCCTGAAGCTGTCCTCTCCAGGGCAACTGGATGGGAAAGCATAAAAATCCAGGTTTCTTTTTGCCAGCAGAGAAGAGATGTTTTTATTGCCTCTTTCACCTTGGGATCCAAATCCTCCTTAGGATAAGAGTTATCACAGAATGGTTTGGGCTGGAATGGACCTCAAAGCTCATCTAGATCCAACCCCCTGCATGGGCAGGGACACCTCCCACCAGCCCAGGCTGCTCCAAGCCCCATCCAACCTGCCCTTCAACACTGCCAGGGATGGGGCAGCCACAGCTTCCCTGGGCAACCTGGGCCAGGCTCTCACCACCCTCACAGGGAAGAATTCCCTCCTCATGTCCAACCTCAAACTCCCTCTCCCAGTTTTCATCCATTCCCCTCATCCCATCCCTCCCTGCCCTTGTCCCAGGTCCCTCCTCAGCTTTCCTGGAGCAGCCCCAACTCCCTCATTCTGTCTTCACGGGAGAGCTGCTCATGAAGACTTCTTTTTATCAGCAGAAAAAAACACAACAACAGTTCTTCTCCCTTCCCCTTTCACCTTGGGATCCAAATCCTCCTTAGGATAAGATTTATACCTCAGTTTCTTTGCAGTGCAGGGAATTACTTGCCCTTCTGCAGAGACACAGACTTGATGTTTAAAGGCACAATTTACAGACTGAAGGAAGGTCCCCATATCTGTTCTGCAACTAGTCAGATCCAACCATTCCTGATTCTGTGCCAAAATGGACTCGGGACACGTGGAATCTCTACCCCCAGAAGAAAAACGATCACCAGAGCAATCTGGTTCCCTGGTGGTCTCCAGGTCCAAGCACTCACCTTTGCTGCCAGTGATGACAGGAATGTTCCGGGGGCGGGAGCGGCAGTCGAAGATGATGGGTTTCTGCACCCAGGGGATGAGGAAGTGGGTCCCTTCTCCTACCACTGTGTCCTGCACCCCCCGGAACCGGTCAAAGATGACAGCTCTGTGGCCTGCATCGACTAGAGAAGAAAATGGTTTCACCCTTCCCATCCATCATACCTGCCCATCACCAAAACCTCCTCTGGGAACAGGGGCAGTTAAAGGCTTTTGCTACAGGAGAGCAGGGAAATGAGCGGGATCATTTGGAGCAAGGAGGCCAAGAGAAGATGCAGCCGTGACTCCTGCTCCCCCATCTGCTCACGGGGGCAGCAGATCATTAACAAAAGACCTTCCTTGTGCAACACATGAGGTAGAACTCAGCCCAGCAAGGCTTTGTGTCCATCCTCCCCCAGTGCCATGAGCAGCATCAGCACAGAGCAGAACAAAACGCCAGGACGAAGAGCTCAGCTTCTCCCACTCACCGTTGTAAAGAGCAGAATTGACAA